AGAGTTTGATCTATTATGAATAATGGATTTGATTAATTAAAATTAGATTGTGATCGTGATAGTTGCAATTTTCTAATCAGGGTTTAGGCCCCTTGAATGTGGAATCAAACTTAGGAGAAAAAGGGGAAATGGCATGGATCATTATATGGTTCACTGCTATTTGAACTTTATGGTTACATAGAACTATTGTTTTGAATTGGTAAAAATAGAGCATGGTCTTGGATTAAAGCTAATGTGTATGGTTTCTCTCATTCTTTTATAGAATCGGCAAAAGAAAATATGATTTGCTTGAAATCTTTGAAGCTTTAGCTTTGTATTTTGTTGGTGGTTTACTCTAGGCATGCTTATAATTTTTTTGGTTGCTTTTAAGAGTTTGGTATCCTTTTATTTATTTATCCGTGTATACTAAATGTAAATTTTCATTTTTAATCAAGGATGATTTATAAAAATTATCTTAAATGAGAGTATTTTTACAAGTTATCCTCTCCTCACGCTATATGATTTATCTTGCATTTAATATTAATTTTTTTTTAACGCAATCTTATTTTAATTTTTTTTTTCACGATTTATATTGTAGTTTTAAAAATTTTATCTCTTTAATATAGTCTTATTTATAATAAATTATTTCTTATTAATAATAAATATTTTATTCTTTTTAGATTTATTAAGTTTTAAAAAGGTTATATACTCACTAGTTTCCTTTGCTGATAAAAAAAATGGTTCATGAATATATCAATCAATGTTCTTAGAACTATAAACTGACAGTTTTTGAAGTGCAAAAGCTGGTTGTATTATGTATCGGTCAGAGTATTCCTTATACTCAATTTTTATAACAGTCTAGTCAAATCAAACTGAGGTGAGTAGTTACAAAGCCCTAGCTCGTCATCAACCACAGTTGAAGTACTTAGCTAATATCACAAGCCAAACCTTGATATAGGCTCATGATCAGTAATTTCACGTTCATATTATTTGCCCTAATCAATAATTTTGCAGCAAAGCTCAGATTAATTCAGTTTAATATCAGTTACCAGTAACATTTAAGGTTTTATTATCTGAAGTTTTCTTCCCTCCATGCGGCACAAAGCAAATGTTACAATCAAGCAGCCAACCAATAATCAATATGCTGCATGCTATAATTTTGATCTACTTCCTACCTTCCTAACACTATATAAAAAAAAAAAAATTCTCTTTTGATAATATTATATTAAAAGAGAGAGACTACTAAGAACTTGTTTAATGCAAAGTTTGTTTGGTAAACTCGATAAGCATATAAAATATAATACTTTTTTATATTTATTTAGTTAACACGACATGATAAGTATATTCTAAGAGATTATCATATTTTTCTATTTAGTATACATTTTATTTTATGAAAAAATTTGTGTTAGAAATAAATAAAATAGAATAGTAAAATATATTTAATTTATTATCTTAGCATACATAAAATTTAAAATAAAATAATAATTTATCACCCTCATATCTTATATTTTTATTCGTCTTGCATGTCCTATCCTTTCCTATCCTCCTACGTCTACCAAACAAACACACAATGGTATTCAATGGAATTCCATTAAAACATCAAATGAGACAAATACTTGCCATACAATTTAACTATTGCATCCAATAAAATTTATTCAATATACATGGAGGGAGAGGCTTCCAAAAGTGATCATACTATTCATTTACACAACCAATTCTTCTGAACTAAATTTAAAAATATCATTTTTATATGCAAGATAATTCTTTTCACATCCACTCTTCCAACATTAAACCTTTCACAGTCAATTCAATTAAAAAAAATGGGAAACATACACTAGGTTACATACAAATTAAAGTGCAAACTATTAGTTAGTAGTGCAAGGCGAGCAGAGTTGAGCAAATATGACCAAATGTGAAAGTATATGAGTTGTTAACTTCACTAATGAGGAACAAGAATTTCACTTGAGTAAAAGTATAATAAAGTATATGCATTATAGGTTTAACAAAAATTAAGATGAGAATCATGCATAGAAAGTTAAAATTAGATATGAAACTATATCACAAATTTTAGTTTTAGGTACCTAAGATCAATTATACAGAATGGTGAAAAATTAATGAAAATGTTACTCACATAATATAAGTTGGGTGGTTAAAGCGAAGAGAGTTATATGTAATTGTAAAGTACTTATTAAGCTGAAAAAAAAATTATTGTACCATAATACAACCAGTTATCCTATATTCTACGTGATAGTGAATGTTAGGCCTTAAAAAAACAAGAAAAAGTGAGAGTGACAAGAATGAGAATACTAATATGAATGAGTGAATACACAATAAAGAACAAGATACAAAATGACAGTATACAAAAGAATATTGCATAACTCTTAATCAAGTAAAGATGAGTCGAGTAAAACTCAAAAATATTTCAGACAAAGTTATCAAAAGATACCTTTTGATTAACTAAATTTTTTAAAATTTAATTTTTTACTGACCTTGGCATTGTATAATCTATACAGACGACCTCACCTAATGAAATAAATCTTGGTTGATATAATACTAAGAAGTAAGAATTATTCTCATTTCAGCTAGAGGAGGACGAAAAAGAAGTTAGTTCACCAACACAGTGAGTCAACAAGAGCAAACTGCAGAAGGAAGAGCTACATATACCACATGAGGTGTTACTACATTCTAGCCCTTTACCCGTAGAAGTTTGATTTATCTTTTCTTTTATGGGAATGATGCAGAAAAAAAAAATTCAAGTAGATACTCAGATTCAAAATATTGATCACTTCAAGCGAAAAATTAAAACCAAAGATAGGACAGAAGGTTGTTTTTTCTTTTTCTTTTTTTTGTCAGCAACAAGAAAGAATATTATTAGAAATTGAGGACAGGAGATAAACTAACTCATATGTACAAAAAAGATTATAAGTATATATAATCCATATTTGAAATTTTACTATAAAACTTAACAAAGCTTCTAATAAATTGCAGGTTCACTGAAAACACTTCAACTTAAAAGCAAAATAGTATCATATCATGCCTCAAGTGTTAAATCAATGGTCGAGATGATCCTACAAGCATACAAATAGTTCATTTAAGTCTTAACTATATATATTTGACCAGTTCATGTCATTTTTCTTATGAGTTTAAGTACTCAATATTTGCAATGTACCTTATATGCAACTCAACAAGTATGAGAGAATGGAAAAGGAAAGACATGTACAGGTGAATATGATTTTCAAATTATGTTCTGAAAGTAATTGTTAAAGCTAAACTACTCCCACATCACCCATTTAGTCACTAATGACTACAACTTGGTTATTAAATAATCAGTTTAGACTTAATTAAATAAGATTATATTTCTAAGTTAATTCCAAAATTAGGTCAGACATTTTAATTTAAGATTTTAAAATCTTTTTATTAATTTTGAAAAAATGACATTCAATTTAATTTTTTAATACAAAATTATAAAAAATAAAGTAGAAGAAGATTAAAATGAATATATTTTTACAAAATTAAAAATTACCAGAAGATATTTTAAGATATCAATGATTAAAATATCAAATTAAACAAGTATCAATTTAAGAGTTTCCTCAATTAAATAACAATTGCAGTTTCACCCTGATCTAGATGTGCTTATAATAATAATAATAATTACAAGAATAATATACCAACAGCCTCGTGAGGAGGTTAATGTGCATCTAGTTGTTTTGAAAACTGTGGTGATATCACTGCACAATATTTCATGGAACTTCACAAGCTCCTCGCTAAATGAAGTTTTATTTTCCTTTTCTTTTGGCTAAGTATATCACTTGAACAAAGTTCACTCACTTCGTTGAGTGATATTAGAAGTCTGAGTCCTGACCTCTTTTCTTCAAACAAAAAATAATATTAAATTATTAATTGCTAGAGGCATATAATCATAGTTATGCAGTGCATGTCAATCTACAGAATCCTTTCTCTCTCTATTGCGCCTCTCTCATCAACATTGGAAGTCAGTGTTTTCGTACATATGATACAGTGCTGTATAGCCTGCATGTGATGGCTCTTTATCCCTTATTTAAGGAAACTAGTACAGCTCCTTTAAAATATTTCCTCTTTGATTCAATTACAAAGAGAAAACTGAGCCTCACAGAAGAAACAATAATGATGTTTGGATGTTTGATAATAATATTTGCTAAATGCACCAGGAAATGTGATGAAAAGGAAAGAAAGAAATAGGGAGTAGTGTAAGATGAATATAGAAAATGGGGTAATAAAATAATCAGCTACGTAGAAGAAAGCTTGAAAACTTCACACAGACACTAGCCTATCCCACCCACAAAATGCAAGTTTTATTAAGTTTTAAAGAAACGACACTCAAATCCAAAAGCCAACTATAAGCATGGTTAAAGAGAGATAGAATTGACTCCAATGCAGATGCAAAACACCGTTTAATGTCACCAAAAATGTTCCAAGAGTTTTCCAAATCACATAAACTCTTGGATGTAAAATTAAAATATATCTGAAAATAAGTTAAAAAACTTATAAACATAAATTTAAAGCATAGATTACAACTAAGTACTGTTAAATAAATGTAAATCTATAATAATTTATACGTGAATCTAAAAACCCTCTCAATGTGTTTGCCTAGTAAACTGAATTTCTCAGCACCTCGAAGCCCCCAAAAAAGGAGACAAGGATAAAGCGTCAACTAGAACTCCTTAGCTGCTCTCAATACCCCACCGTACTTCTGAGGTTATCAAAAGAAAGAAAAAAAGCATAACATTAATTAAACTACTTAGCTCCTATCTTATCCACCATTGTACTTCGGTGATTATGATGAAGGTCTTAACTATATCCTTGAGTCTCTACATGGTGTAAAACTACATACATATGTCTACTTGAAATTTACTAGCTAAAAAGTTTAAGGAAACCCTCGCATGAAGATGGATAATGCTTTATTTAGCATTATGCAGATGCAAATCACACAAAGTAACAGAAAAAGAAAACTGTTATGAGGATCCATTTATAAATCAACATACCTGGAGCTTGCAAATTCATAAAGCTTGCCTCTTGGAGAAAAAATGATAAGAGCAACCTCAGCATCACAAAGAACAGAAAGTTCAAAAGCCTTCTTCAGCAACCCATTACGCCTCTTTGAGAAAGTGACTTGCCTGCTTGTGGCGTTCTCTATGCGCCTCATCTGAGTCTTTCCTCTCACCATCTCTAAGCGTTTCTGAAGTGAATCAGCATACACAAAGGGAGAATTAAAAACACAACAAAATATGAACAATACTTTAAAAAACGCTTTTTCCCCCATTAAACTGAAACTAGTTCACTACAAAGGAGTTCTAACCAAGTAGAATGAACCACAAACTATGCTTCCTTGTATGAGTAGCCAATATAGGAGGTTTCCACCAAACTTGTGCCTTCCAAGCAAGACTAGAAGACCCAGAAAAAGCTATGAACGCACAGAAGATTCCAACACCTAAGAATCACATATTGTTAAGGCTAAAGGGAAACTGAAGCATATATCTAAGAAAAAAGCAAAAAGAGAAACAAACACACAGGGCTCAGATATGCAGATTTTTAAGGAAACAAACCCAACTGTCAAAGGAGCAGCAAATGTATGTGACTTCCCAAAAAAGGATCTCAACCCCAATAAACAGATATCCTAAGATGGGGTTTTTTTATTAATAAAAAAAAAACTAATATCTGATTGATTGATTCTTACCAACTAAAAAAAGAAACTTGAAATCGTCGTAGATTTCTCAAAAAGCCAAGAGAAGGGTTGTCAAAGGGAATCAGATTTGCACCAAATTAGCAAAATCCCAGAAATCTTTTGACCAATGAAGAGAGAATAAAGGAGTTGTGCACAGAAAAGGGAAGAAATTAAAAGTGTTGAGTTGAGAATGGAAAAAGGAAGCACCCAAAAGAGAGGTAGCAATAACTGCAGAGAAACTCAGAAAAAGTGGAAGCAAGGAAGCATATAGACTCATCAGACCAAGCTTTCCTTATTCATCCACCTATCCCCCATTGGTTCCCCGAGCCCCACCATATTAAGAAACAAGGCGTTTTAATGTAATAGAAAATTGAAACCTCATCCTTTTCTTGATTTGGTAAAAAACCAAGTCTATGCCCCAAAAAAGAAACGTTTTAGTTAAAAGGGGAAGGGAAATATTAAAAATGAAATGATGCTCCAAAATGAGCCAACAATAATAATAATGAAAAATAAGGGTAGAAGGACAATTAGAACAATAAAATAATAATGTTTATAATTTTTTGTCACTGTGCTTTAGGATTTAGGAAAGAAAATTTTGAAGACTTGGAAAGAGCGAGAATGTGTGGGGTTGCATTTGCAGGTGAACATGAAGTGTGGGGCATAACAGATAGTTAAAAACAACAAAAATAGTACAATGTTAGAAACACATCAACCTCCTCCGTACGATGACGTACCCGAGGAACCAATCAGGAAGTGAAAACACATCCCACTTGTCATAAAGTCTTTCTGTGGCATAGAAAATGTAAATTCTTATTATTATTGATATTTGTACAAATTTTAAATTGGAGTAATTGATATTGATATTTAAATAAAAATATAGTTCTTTTTATATCAAATTAATTTAATATATCCCATCGATACATTCATCAGTTGGATAAAACATTATGAAACTTCATTATTTGTAATTATGCACATTAAAAAGAAATTATGATCAATATTATTCAAATAATTTTAATCTTGTATGATAGCATTTTAATATATATATATATATATATATATATATATATATATCAAATAACGACCATTTAACATAACATCCAACCCCTCCTTTTTTTTTCTCGGTATGAATACATCCTAAAGAAATTGCAAATTAAGAAAGAAAGGCTAATATAGGGTGGAAATTCACTTATTCTAACTGATAACTTACTTTATTTAATTAGTTTATTCTAAAATGTGAATTTAATAAATCCAATCATTTAATTATGTGATATTATTTTAATGATTATGCACATCAAATTTTAAATAATTTTAATATTAATAGGCATATTATCTTCATTTACTTATATTTTAAAGCATATAATATCTACTAAATTAAATTTTATTGATAAAATATTAATTATTTCTTCAATTTTATAATATTAATATACTCTTTAATTACATTCAATTAAATGGATGAATAAGTTAAACCTGCAAGTTTTATTTTATCTTTTTATTTTATTAATTTAAAAGCTGTTTCAATGTTTATGTAGATAAGATTTTATAATAAAAAAAAATCAGTAATAATGATAATGATAGAAGTTTGAGATAATAATGGTGGCATCAACGTGGTTGTTAGGTATTTAAAACTGTGAAAAACGTAAAAATGTGTATTTGATCAAGAATGATTTGCAGGAAATTACTTTTGAACAATAATTTGATTGTAAAATGTAAATAAAAAAGTAAAAAATAAAACAAAATTGTCTAAAATGCCAATATTTAGAAAACTTTTGTTGAGTTGAGAAACAAAGCAAAGTTAAAAAGAAAATACATAAAAATAATTTAGTAAACTAAATTAAATAAAAAAAATTAAAGAATAGAGTACATTTTAAATTAAATAGAAACCTAAAAATGGAACTAAAACATAAATTAAATTTAGATGACAAAATTTATAATTTTATCTAAAAGTTTATTAGATCTCACGTGGATAATCGATTATATTATCTCGATCTTTGTTGTGATATTGATTTGAAGTCAAATTTGATTAATATTTTATTTAAAAGAAGTAATAATTATTGAAGTTGTTAACTATATTATATAGACAATATATGCATTTATAAAACAATTATATATTTTTATTTAATTAATCAAGTGGGTTAATTATTGTATGGTTTTTCACTTATAAGAATTTTTTAAATTGAAATTTGGATAAGAAAAAAACTATTTATAACATTTTTAAAGTGCAGTAAGTAATTTTCTTTTTAAGGAAGCAATAATACTTATAGTAATATGTAGTTTTGTGAAAGTCCATTGTCGTTTATCAAATTTAATTTGATACGATTTTATTGATTAGTTGATAATTAAACGTGTGAGTTTGAGAAAAATATCGTAATTATTTATAGAATTTTAATTTTTTTATTAAATTTAATTTATTTATATAAATACTCTATGTTGAATTATTTTTCTTTCTCTAAACCATATACTTCGTTGATTAAAATTTTGCATTCATTGTAAATCAAATTTGAAACTAAAATTTAAGCTGAAACAACTATTTTTAGTTAATTCATATGTTTACTAATAAATAAAAGTATTTACTTTCACAAATGAACTTTTTTGAAACTTACAAATATCAAGTACGTCTTTTAATCTTTTGATCAACCATAGGATGTCTCATCTAGTCTTAAAAAAACATAAAGAGATCACACAAAAGGAATGAAGAACCTATCATCGTCACTATTAAAAAGTAACAAATTGAAGTTCTCAGATAACTCAATGGAAAATCAAATAATACTTTGATCTCTCAGTATTAAGAAAGAGTCCATCCATGTGTAGATACAAAGAACAAGACATTGGAGATAAGGTCAAAAAGAGATAATTAGTAAGTTGGATAAAGCTTTTAAGTTTTAATTATTCCCTATGATTTAGTATGTTAATTTATTGTTGATTAATTCATTTATTAATTTATGAATGTAATTGATTAATGTAACAATGTAATTAATTAACTTGATTTTAAAATTCCTTCGAAATATGATTTTAGAATAAAATAATCAATTTCATAATCGTACTTGTCATTTATTAAAATGGAGACAAAATGTAGGAGATGATTTTTTTTTTGTTCTATAATATATATATATATATATATATATATAATAATAATAATAAATTATTGTAATTTGTTAAATAACAAAAGTGACACTGCAAATCTATCTAAACTAATTAGATTTAAGATCTTTTCATGTAAATCTCTTTGTAATATTTTCTAATTCTTAAGACTGATTTATTAGTCAGGTTAAACCAATTTATTGATTTCATTTAATTATTAAGCATATTTTTTCAAGTCCTCGTTGAATTGTCACTCAATTAAACCAAACACTCACGATAAAAAAAAAAAAATGCCTTACTTTCTTCTGCTCTAGGCCCAGGTATTAAAAAAAAAATACCTTACTTGCTTGAGGTAATTATTTTGATAAGAAAAATATTTGTTAAACTTTGCTGAGATCATACATGTTTCACAAACATAATTTATATAGGTTTTTAGAACAAATTAAACTTTTAAAAATGTCAAATTAAATCATATAAAAATATATAATATACAGATAAATTAAACTCAAATCTTAAATTTTAAGTAAAATAAATATTCTTATCTTTTAATTTAATTAAAGGTAAATTTTAATTTTTTTTCCTTCAAAATTTTTTTTATTTATTTTATAGTCTTATATCTTGTAAAAATATTTTAAATAAGTTATTTTTATTAAAAATAATAACTCAATTAAAAGTTTTATTTTGTTTGTCATGTGTATTGTGCAGAAACTTTTTATCATTTTTTTATATTTTAAATTGTCTCATTTACTTTTTTTTCTTCTTCTTCCTGCCTTCTTTCTCTTTTATTTTTATTTTTTTTCTTTTTTTCTCTTTTTATTTCTTTATCTCTTTTATTGACATTTTCTTGATCCAGTGTCACCTTTTGCTCCTTCAAACAATTATATTACGGTGGAAGAAAGTAAAACAAACATTATGGAAAAAGAGAACATTTTTATAGGTAGTTGGAGAAAGAAAAAATATATCATGAAAAAAAAAAGAAATAGAAGACAAGGTAAAAAATTTATCTTTTAAATTTTTTTTAAAATAACATCAATAATTGTATATTTAGAATAGATTGTCACATGTCATTTAACGTAACATATAATCAAATTGTTATTCAAATTTAATATCTTTTAAGAATAAAGACTAATGTAACTAATAATTATTAATTTTAAGAACTATAATTTTAAATTTTAAAGATTAACTTTAGTCAAATTACATATTTTAAGAATTAAAATAAAAATTTATCTATTTAATTTAAGTCTATTAAATATCTATTTGCAAGTTCAAGTCAATTTACGTAGAAAGCTGAAAAGATTATAAAGCTAAAGTAAATATAAATTTAATAATTCTGGTTCATTTTAATATTACTCTTCCAAAAAATTTCCTTATTAGTTTTAATCTTCATAAATCTAAATGTTTAAATATAAAAATACCCCCTATTACTATGAAAGACTTTGTATTTTGATTTGCCAGCTATATGAGATTACAAATTTTGTACTTAAATTCTCAATCACTGCTTGCATTTAAAAAACACAAGTTTTGGAAGACTTTGTACTTTGATTTGCAAGCTCATCATAGTAACCATGATCATTACTAATCCTAAATCAATGGTAATTGGAAGATTAATTTTTTATAATCTTTTAGTAATTTATTTAATTTTTTAATAATTTTCTTTATGTCCAGACTTACCTAATGTTTAATGTGTGCAATTAATGCATTAATCCATTAATGTTGTTAAACAATCTTAATATCTATCAACAAAAGAATAGTCCATAACCAACTTTGAACATTTTTATAGGTGTAGTTAACATGTCAACTCAATCGTTCTGTTATCTTATTTTAATAACTATCAATAGAAGGGTTAGTGTGTAATAAACTTTGCACAATTTGGAAATAATAAATTAGATAAGCACAACCTGTTAAAAATTATTTTTAAAGTAAAAAAGGATGTCTTTAAGAAAAATAATTTTCATTCTCAACCTATTAACAATTAAATCAACACAAATTATTAATTTCGGATACTATATGATAATTACCCAGATAAGTTGACAGCAGGACAGTGAAAACTGAACGAATTGAACCTAAAATGGCTATTTTTTATATAGCCACTAATAAAGCTACTCATTCTATGGTGTTTTCTTATAAAAAATAAATATTGAATGAGTTATTATATTATCATAAATTTTATTTACAACAATTCTTAAAAAAGTGTAACAGTATAAGATTATAAAAATATTGTAAGATAATTTTATTTTTTGGAAAGATTTTAAATTTAACACAATTTTATCTTGTATTTTTAAAATTTATTGTAAGTAAACTGTGTGTCTATGAAAAATTTCATAACTATAATTGAAGCATCAGAAAAACAATGTTAAAATGATCCACATCATGCTTGTCTTTAATAAGTATTGAGTGAG